ATTTTAAAATGTTTTAAAATTTTGAAAAATGAGTGTCAAAAATACCCCTATGGGATAGACTTCTTATTTTACCATATATTCTTTATCTTTTAATTCTATTCCATTAATTTGAAATTCTAATCTAAATTTAATTTTTATCTTGTATTCATCTCTACATTTTTTTATTTTACTATTAAAAAATATTTTTATCATCAACCAATCAACCACCATTATTATTTATTTATATTTTTTGGAAAAATATTTTTGGTTTTATTAATAAGATGTTTTTATTTAAAAATAATTTTTTTTAGAGTAATAATCATTTTGATTTAATGTCATATACAATTTAATAATATCTTTTGATAGATAATTTATATTTTTGGCTATAATGTAGTTTGTTTTTTTTAATATTTTTATCTCTTTTGATTCTCATCTAAAATATTAGAGAAAATATTTTATTTAGTATAGATAAAACAAACAACATATCCTTTATATTTATTTCTATTTTAAATATGTTTGTCTTGTTTTGATATTAATATAAAATTTGCTTGATTTATTTCAAAAACAGGAATAAAAAAATTGAATTTTTATTTTTCTGATTAAAGATAACAAATTTTATAGTAAGTCGCTGAATCTTATATTTGTAATCTTGTGATTTCTTTATTTATTTTTTACTTTTAGCTGTTGATTTTGCATATAAAAGAATATAAATAAATACACAATTAAATTATATCCGCTTCTTTTATTAATTTACTTATTGCTTTTTTATTAAATTACAATAAGAATGCGATAAATAATTATATTAATTAATAACAAATAGATTGATTAATAAGTATATCAATATGGGCTGCTTCTTTTTATTTAATAAGGAACATTTTCCTTTAAAGCTTCTTTTCTTTCTTATTAAATCTTGACCATCTTCAAAATAAGGGATTAATATAAATTTAAATTTCAGTAGGCTTTTGAATCAAAATGTTGTTTAGTTGTTAATAAAGCGATATTTGTAGTGCCAGTTATACATATAATTGACTAAGTTATTAGAAGTTTGTTTGAGGTACTATTAGTTTAAGTTGATGTCTCTTTTTTTTTCTATTCAGATTATTTGATCAACTCTATCAACTAATTTAAATATATAATTTAATTTAAAATAATCTAATGTCTATTCTGAAAATCAAATTATTATTCTTAACTAAATTTGTTTATTTTTGTTACACTTTTCTTCTTTTAAATATCATTTTTTCCTCTTCATTAAAAAAATATATTATTAATGCGATTTAAATCAAATTTGTATTAACCCAATTAACATATTTAAGAGTAAAAAATGTTTTTAAAAAAAGAATGATAGAAAATTTTTTGAATGAAATTGAATTACAAATTAATCTTTTCTAGCCAAAAATAAATAGAAGAGGAAAATGACAAAATTAATATTTAAATGGAATTATTTATATTACTACTTTTGTTTGTTTGTTTGCTTATTTATTTATTTGTTTATTTTTGTATTGTTGGTGAATTTTAGTTTATATAGAGATATTTTTGATGAGACGATTTATTTGATAATTTTATTATTACATTAAGCTTATTAATTCTGATTCAATAAATTTATATTTTTCTTCAAGCATGCTCTCTCTGACTCTAACTAGTTTGCTTTTCTAATATTAAATATTAATCAGAGATTGATTGCATTTTTTGTATAATTAATATATTAAAAATATAATACAGAAAATTAAGTAAAATAATATGGCTTGTTAAATAACAATTTTAAATATTATAATAATATTTATATTCACTCCTATCTACGCTTTTTCAAAAGTAGATTTAAATCAAGCTCATGTTGAGGAATTACAGGTGAGCGGCAATCTAAGATAAAACTCTAATAAAAGATAACTTTTTTAACTGATGAGCTAAAGTATAATTGAAGAGGCAATTTAAGATCTTTGTCCTTTCCCTGGTTATCAAGGAAGTTATTGTATTGAAAATTCAGAATAATCAGATGCGCTTTTTCGCAATCAAAGAAAAACCGCTTATAAAGCTTAAACAGGTCAAGAAACTCAACAAATTTACAGAATGCCTTAAGGTATTGGCACATCTTTTGATATTACTACTGGAGATTTAAAGTTGCCTGTTGTATAGCTAACATATCAAAAAGAACCTACAGAGCAATAAGTTTGGAGAGACGATTTAACAGGTAACTAATTTATAATAGCAGATGAGACTGATGTTGAGTAAATTTAACTTTAGCCAGATGTAAAGATATACAAAAATGAATTTGATTTGTCTGACATATGGACTAATGCTGTGTAAAATGGAGAGTGGTTTGGAGGATGGTATAGTTAATCAAAAGATATTAACGATGTCTACTCAAAATTCTTTAAAGGAGATCAAGAAATCTCAATTGCTTAATTAACTAAAAATGTTATTAGATTGAAATTCAAAACAGATAATTTAAAACTTAACAAATATGCACAAATGGCTGTAGATGCTTTGCCTAAAGTATTCTAACCTTAGATTTATAATGATTTCTTAGAATCTTGGGGAACACATATTTCTGTTGATACATTTATTGGAGGAATGATAGAAAAATTAACAGTTTTTAAAAACTGCGTTTATGCAACTTCTTCTTTTAATGGAAATGGAGGTCTTTCCCCTGATTAATTAGCGCAAGCTTTAAACAATGAATTACATGGAAATAAAGCTGATGATTATTTTGTTGCTAGAAGAAAAGTTTCTATTGATCAAAGACTTGGAGGAAATCCAGAAGATGTTCAAAATTGGGAGAATACTGTCAGCTTGAATCCAGCCTTATTGAAAATAAATCGTTTTGTATCATGGGATAATTTTATCTAAGATTAAGATGTCAAAACAAATTTATAATAAGCAATTTAGAATAGAATAGAATCGATGAAACAAAAATAAGCTAATTATTAGTAATAAGTTAAAGAATAAAGAAGAATTGAAAATTGTGGACCTAAAACTGCTTATGCAGTTCAAGGAAATGGAATATCAACTTTTTTAAATTATTAAATTACCTTGGTGTAACCTATGAATTTTTTAGTTTCAGAGGACTTCAAATTGCAAGACTCTTCTTAATGCGCACCAGGATTGCCTTTTGATATCTCAAAAAGCAGATGCAGCTCAAGCGAATTTGGTAAAATGACGCATTTAGCTATACCAAAAGAAGTAAGATATGAAAGAGACGACTAAGGAAACTTTAGGACTATTTTAAGGGAAGCATATGGAGATTGGGTAGATAAAGGCTGCAGTGTTGCTTTTGTTCCAGGATTTCCATAGTTTTAAGATTTTAGTCAGTATCCTCCTAGAAATAGTAGATTTTAAATGATTTGTGTCGGTTGTACTCCAATTATAGTTGAATAGACAGGCGGAAAATTATTTAAATGTAATTGTCCAGAATTTTGAAATCTTACACTCTTCTTTCATATATTTTTTGTAGTTAATCCTAACTAATAATTGACAATTTGTTATATATTTAGTATTTATTGTTAGGTTATCCTTCAACACTCAAATATTTTTTTAATTTATATTTTTGTGGCAATTTTTTTTATTAAATTCCTAATTTAAATGTAAATAAATATGAAAGATAGATCTATTTAATATTATATAATATAATGATATCTATATATTTTCCAACGCTTATAAAAAATTAATTATTCTATTAAACTGATTAGTGTTTACTTTTATTAAAAGAAGATAGTTAATTGCTTTTTTGAATGATTAAAAAATAATAAATTATTTTTTTTATTAATTAATAATTAAAATCTATTTTTAAAAGACAGACATTAATTAATATTGAGTAATTTTAATTTATTTTATAAGTATAGCTTTAAATCAAATAAACATTTAACTTTATATATATGGGGTTTGTTTCAATATATTTTTAATAGAGTTTTAACTTAATTATTTTTTTTAATATATTTTTGAATTAGTTTGAGATAGTTTTTGGTAGAGATTAAATTAATTTCTTTAAATAATATTTTAGAGATTGTGTTTTAGAGATATATATATTTGTGTGTGAGAGAGCATGTTTGCTTTAAAAGAAGCATTTTTTAAATCATAATTCACCTTTTTAATTTTCTAGTCAGCGAAAATCTAAGAATTTTAATAGAAATTTTATAAATTACTTCATAAATCAGAAAACTGTCTTGAATTTATGTCAAATAGAAATAGAATTAAGGAAACAAATAAGGGTATCGTTTATGTTGTTGATCCAATCAAACTACAATTTAAATTGGTGTTCCTCTAATTGTGACTTTTTATCAATAAGAAGTTTGATAAATTGTGTTTGAAATGTTTTAATGGCAATTAGTGCAAGTACCTTCTTTTCTTTTAATTGAGTTTTTTCCTTACAGTCAAAGAGAGAGTCAAACGTTGATTGTCGGATTTTTAGACTCCTTCTACCAGCAACACAAAAATGCTATTTTAAAAAATCTTGATACTAATAACTTGAAAGATTTTCTTTTTCTAACAACTCGTAATCCACAAAGCCTGTTTTCATTCTTACAATTGGAGTTAAAAAATCTCTAATGTTATTTTTTATGACCGACTGATAATTGCTTTTCATTTGAGAGCTTGATTTAATATCTTTATTTATTTAATAATTAAAATTGTTAATTTTTAGTATTAAATGATAATATTAATAATTACTTTGTTGCGATAACTAAGGAGAGAGAGAAGATATTTATTTAGAGGTAGCAATTTTTGAAGAGGAGGAGGAAGAGTAAGGAGAAGTAGGACAAGATTTTAAATTAATTTAAGTGTCAGGAAACTAAGTTGAAAAACAATTCAGATTATTTTAAGAATTTTACTCTTTTTCGCATTATTTAATATTAAATTAATCATTCTGATTAGGATTAATAGCTTTGTCTTAAATGAAGTTCTACTAATCAAATTAAGTACTTAATGGCATTTCTAATTAATTTGAACAAGAATGGAAAGGATTTACATCTTAATTACTTAATTAAAATTGAGAATGTTGTTATGAGTTAAACATATCATGCATTTGATTAGATTCGTCTTGAAATCTGTTGTTATATTCAAAGCAATATTCCTAGTAGGATTTAGGAGCAAGAAATTAATAGTCTTCTTAATGTTTCTTTTACAAACAATAATCACAGAGTTTTTGTGGTTAATCCATATCTAAATTAGCATAGCACTAACAAGATTCATAGGGATTAAACGATTCAATATTAAAATGACTCATTGAAATTCTTGATTAGAATACAAATTAGTTGATTGACGCAAGCTGTATAAATGTGTGTGTATCCTATTTATTTTCAAAAAGTAGATATTTCGAATATTACTTATCAGTCTTTACTTTGTCTTATTTATGCACTTATTAAATATTATCAAAATTTTTTTACACTATTTGTCTATATTTACTTTGATTAAAGTATGTATCTTTTAAAGGCATCAAGTTATTATTAATAATGAGTAAATAAATTAGATATCGAATTTGTTTCTCACATGCATTAATTCTTTTCTTTAATTAATTTACTTAATTAATTAAATGTAGACAATATATTTTCAAATAAATTTTCCTAATCAAAATTAATCAATGAAGATTTGATTATCATTTAATGTAGACGAATTCAATTAGTCATTAATAAATAAACAAGCAAATACTTATTTATTTAATTATTTTAAATTTCTTAATCTACTTTTCGCAGTTGATAATATATCTAAATCTACTCATCGCATTTGCTAAAATATTTTACTATTTGAACAAAATATTTCATCTAAACAACAAAATTTAAGTAAAAATTAACAAATAAAATTAATTTAGTGAGAAACTTAAAATAAAAAATCTTATTATTTCTTTAAAAATTCAAAATATTGAGAAAGCTTAATTATAACCTTAAAATAAGAAAAAATCTTTTGATTTCTTATGTGTTTGACGCCTATATTATTTTTCTATTTCATTCATTTAATTTATTTTTCTACTTTTCAATTTGATTTATTAATATAAAATAGACCCTACATTAACTTAAAAGAATAAGCTATAACTAGATATGCTTTGTGTAATATCTACTAAACATCATTCATTCTTAAAGACATATCCTTAAAGATATAAAAGCAAATGGAATTCAAATCTATTAATTCAATTATGAATGAAAGTAAATTTTTATTTTTCATCACAATTCAAAATAAATCAATTTATCAACTAAAGTTTTATTTAAAAAGTAAAATATTTGTTTTAAAGAGCTTTATCAACGCGAAATATATCAAAATTTAAAATCTATTATAAAATAGATAAATAAAATAAATGTGAAAAAGGTTTTTATTTCTTTAGAAAGCAAATACATAAAGAGATATTTTGTGGTCACTTTTAATATTGTTAAAAATACTTGCTAAATAGATCATTAACAACGTCATTAATTAGTATTTTTAAAAGTATTAAAAAGAATAAGCAATTTTAGTTGATTGATTTTTTTTTGTATTTACTCTAAATAAATACTTAGATATTTATTTAAAATATAATAGATCAACTAAGATAATTGATAAATTTATTTCAAAAATTAAAATAGAAGTATTTTATCAGATTTATTATTTCCTACTTTTCCTACAAATGTTTAAATTATAAAAATAGTTGTTATAGAGTTAATACTTAAATATGTATTTGGATCAATATTGCTTAAAGATATTTTGCGGAATTACATATTCTCATAATAAAATAAAATTTTGGTTACAGTTCTTATAAATAAGCAATTGCTAGAAGATATTCATGTTCGATAATAATTATTTAGCTAAATTCTTATTTAAAAAAGCATCCTGAAAAGTGTATTTTTTCATGCATTTAATTCTATAAGAATTGGAATTCGAAAGGAATGTTATGAATTGTTCATATATATTTAATATTTTAAAAGTGAAAGATAAAAATGTATAAAAATAGTCAAATAATTAAATAATTGAATGTATTATTTAATTTTTGGTTAAAAAAACCTTGAAATTTTAATATCTTTTGCCTTTAATTTGTTTAATTTTTCAGCTTGTTAATTATAATTAAATTTCTCAACTTTCTATTCTTTCTCTCTTTGTTTTTAATGTGTCATCTATCTTAAATGAATTTTGATATTACTAATTAATATTCAAATATATGATTTTGATTAATAAATATTCAAAAATCTAGACGCTAAATTATAGACAAGAAATTCGAATTGAATTAAAAGCTAATTTTTTCTAATCAAATTTCATCAAGATAGAAAGATAGATATTTTCTTCTAATTTATTTATTTATTTATTTATTAATTTATTAAAAATTCTTGTAGATCAATTTAATGGCATTACTTTAAATTATTTTATTTACTCAATTATAGAAAATAAATAAATTATTATTTTCATTTAAATTTTCATAAAATCTTAATATAAAAAGCTTTTTTAAAGCTAAAAAAATTAGAAATTCTTTCAATTTTTTCTTTCTTTTTTGGATTTTGTATATCTAAATAAAGGGAATTAAATATTAGCTAACTAATTATCATTTAAATTAATAATTTTGATTACTTAAAAACCTAAATACTATACAAGAATTTTTATTAAATTTGAAATTAGCCTTTGCCAAAAGTGAAAAATGATAGATAAAATTACTTTTTGATGATTCAATTTCATCAAAATCTTAAAATTCCAAAAAAAGCGTCTTCTAATATTCATCAGACAATTTTTATGATTTTGATGAATCTATCAAAAATCTTTATTATGAATTATAGACGCAAGATTCAATTCTAATTAAAATCTAATTTTCTTAATTAAAATTAATCAAGATATATAGATATCTTATTGTAATTAATTAATAATTCTTGTAGATATAATAGGAGTAAGTTTTTACTACTAAAATTATTTATTTATTCAATCTATTTTTCAAAATTATTTAAAATATTTTTTTTTAAATCATATTTTAGAATACGCATTTTTAAGCTAAAAAAATAAAAAATTATTTTATTTTTTACTTATTAAGTAAATATCCTTAAGCTATTTTATATAAAAATAGATTTCAAATAAAACCTCAAGTATTTAAAAAATCTAATTAGTAAATTATAAATATATAATTTAATTGAATTCCAAACTAATTTTTCCTAATCAAAATTTATCAAGATAGAGAGATAGATATTAATTTTGCTTAAATTAACTAATAATTCTTGTAGATCTAATAGGATTAAGTTTTTAATATTAATTGGTTTAGTTGTATTTACTTATTAATATTTAATAGATGTTTATTTTTCAAAAACTCTTATTTTTAACAACCTAATTTTATGATAAAAATTAAAAAATGCACATGTACTGAGTGAGGTATGGAGATAATCTCTTTTTTACCGAATTTTAAATCAATTTTTAATTAATAACTTTCTATTACATAAAAAAAATAAAATTTTTAACCAGCATCCCCTTAATTAATTATTACCATTTTTTGAATTATAAATGAAACTAATTTTATTAACTTTGAAGCTAATTTCAATTAAATTCAATTATGCCTACGATAAATATGAAATATAAATATTACTACTCAAATTTTATTTTTTTAATTTTAAAAATAATATAATAATGATATATTATCATTTTCATAATCTAATGTTTTCTTTCATGGTTTCTAATTGAGAGGAAGCTAATTAATTTTATATATTCTTTAATAATAAATAAAGCAAATAGAACAAACACAAAATATTTATTTCAGATAATCTTATTTTTTTTTGTGCTATAAGAAATTTTAAACCCTTTTTCAAAAAGAGTTTAAAGTGGTATTTATTTAATTAATTAAATAAATTAATGAATAAATGAAATAGATTTAAGAAAAATTTTTGATTAATTTGTTTATTAATTAAGAGCTATTGATAACATAAAATAAATTGATTGATTGTAAAAATTTATATTTATTTATAAATATATTTAACCACTTCAATAATAAATTTAATTCAAACAACAAACACACTAAATAAGTTTTATCTTCAAATTAATAATTGTTATTGAACCAATCTTATCATTTTTTAAAATTGCCTCATAAGTACCAAATCTAATTCGTCATTCAATTAATTCTAACTGTAATATAAATTATTTAAATAAAATCAATCACAATTTATCAAAGCTTCCTAATAAAAATAAATTTAAAATTATTTTGATCATTTAAAAAATTTTGAAATTAATAACCAAACAATTAATTACGTTAATTCAATAAACAAAGATTAAAGTCTTTAATTTCTTTTTAAAGCAGAACTAAAACGTAACGCACCATTAGCATTAATCTAATTAAGCCTTAAGTTAAATTTATTTAATTAAAATTTTTAAATATTTAAACTAAAAATTGAAATTTTTAAATTATTGCTTTTTAGCTAATAAAAAACTTATAAAATTTATTTAATGAAATGATTTTAAAATTAAGAATGAGAAAAATAAAATTGTAGTTTAATTGATTTAAAAGTTAGTTTATTCTTTTCACCTTAAAGAAAGTTACAAATCCTAAAGGTTCATGAATTTAGATAAAGCAGAACCTAATTAATATGCTCCTTCTTCATTTATTACACATCCACTTTATTTATTTATAAATAAAAATTAATTTATTTTTCTTTAAGATTTAATTTTCTTAAATAAATAAAAACTATTTAACAATCAAATTATTTATTTTTTGCTAGTTTTTCAAAACAATTAATTTCTAATAAAAATATATATTTGAGTTATTTTTACTCCAAATAGATTTTTAATGTCTTAATATGAATCAAACTATTTAAAATGGAGCAAAAATTTTATTCACAACTCGCCTCTATCATGTTACTCCTTTTATAATTTAATACAAAAGTAAATTATGAAACAAATTTTTTTATTATCAGAAATTAAGTTAAATAAAATAGCATAAAATTTAATTTAAATAAGCAATAAATAAATAAAATAATACAAATTTACTCGAGATAAAAAGTTAAATTAGAAAGCTTAGCACAGTTTGTTAAACTTTAGCAAAGAGCGTTTATGCCAAAATCTTCAATTGCATTTCCTCTTTTATTTAAAAAATAATAATTTTATTAATATAAATTAAAAATAGTTTGAATCCAATCTGAAAAAGATAGTAAAATTTGATTGGAAAATTTTTAAAAATTAAGATAAATAATTAAGCAAGTACCGCGAAAATTATAAATAAACAGCATCAAAAAAATTTTAAATACTTTTTATTTCGGGAATGGTAAATTGATTGAAATTTATCCACTTTTGAGCTTGGCTCACAGTTTTAATCGAAGTATTACATTATATAATTATAATTTATTCTGATTATGTGAGTCAATCAATAATTAATAATAAAATAAAGAATCTATTACCCTACATCAAGTAAAAAATCTAAAAGATTAACTAAGTTTTAAATTGCTGATGCTAGACCTAACATTCCTTCATCGCCAATAGAATTACCACTATTTATTTAAACATATTAAAATTCATAAATTATATTTATTTTTTACATCTCAAAATCAAATAAAAGAAATCATTCTAAAACATATTAAAAAATTAAATTCATTTTTTTTATAGTTAATATTTGATAAGACTTAAAGCAGTTCTCAAATTGTAAGGATGGATCAAATAAAATTTATTAATAAATTAAACCAAAGTAAATGTGAAATTTATTGAAAGTTCAAGTCAATTCTTGATAAAAAATTGTTTTAGGAAATTATTTATTTATTTAAAATATTATTAAAATAGTTTTTTAGGAAAATATTTATTTTCTTACTCAAAAGTGATCAAAAGTGTTGAAAGATTTTAACAATTTGCTAAAGGAGAGCATAAGTTGAATGGACATTACTCAGTAATTTAGTTATAACTTTTTATATTAAATAAATTAAAACATTCATAAAATTAAAAAAGTGAAAAATTGTAAAAATTAATCAATTTATTTTTTTAAATTCATTTTTATTTTGGAAATTTGTTATTTTTTATTTTATAAATTAAAAAAAAATCAAATTGTCTTCTAATTTTTTGATTTATTTAGACAAGAAGTTAAATTAAAACCTATTTATTTTTACGCTACACTAAGTGTCAAGTTTGTTAAATTTTTACATTTAGCTATAGAATCACCTAAATTTTTAGCACCTTAGTCGCAAATAGAATTATTACTACATCAAATTATTGTTAAAAAAATATTAAATTTAATTCAAAAAAAAATGAATAGATAAAACTCAATAAAAAAATATTTTTCTAAATAGCTTTCAAGATAAATAAAATAAGTGAAAGAAAAAAATACTCTAGATATAGACTTAAATTTTTGATAGCTTGGAAGTTTTGTATGCAAATACCTAACTCAGATATAGCCTTTATCCCTATTTCGTTATTCCTTTTATTGATGGTTAAAGTTTATTTATCATAAATTTAAACAAAGTTAAGAAAAAATAGTTTATTGTAACAAAAGACTTTTTTTAATCTCTTTTTATAACATGTGAAAATTAATTAATTAATTAAAATATTTTAATAATTTTAAATTATTTTTACCAAAGGAAGACATGCAAATTTTGTAGATTATGGCAATTCACTAGATTTTAAAACAGATTTTATATATGATCTGAGATATTTTTTTTGTTTCTTTAAAAATTCAAATCATAATTAATCTTTTTAAAACTAAAAAATTGTATTAAATAATTAACCCTAAATAAAGATTTAAAGTTATGAGTTCGCAGCATTTCGATAGAGCAGAACTTAAGTCCTAAAAATCTTCGTTGCTTATTTTACTCGGACTTTTATTGTTATTTAGAAGATAAAATTTTAATATGAAAATATATAAATTATGAAGTAATTTAAAGCTAAATAAAATAATTTTTTCTAAAGTTTTTTTAAAAAAATAAATGTTTAAATTAATAAATAAATAATTCATTAATTTATTATTTTAAATAATTAAAAAATATTCCTTTAAATTTGATTATAAATATGTTAATAAATAATCAGTATAAATGTTAAAAATTGTACCAATTTATTGTAATAGATTAATGAGAAGCTAAAGAAGAGCTTAGAAACTTTTATTAATTTAAAATTAATTTTTATAATCAATTAATCCTAAAAATATTATGCTTTACTTCTTTTATATTTTCAAAATTATTTTTTTGTTATAGCATTTGTTTTTTCTTATTTAAAATAACTATTTAGTTTTTTAATAAATTTATTTATAAATAAATAAATAAATAGAAGCCCTATTTAAACATTTTAATCAAAAATTAGGCTTAAGCTTACTCAAGTGAAAAAAAATATTTAAATAAAAACTAATAATTTTTTTATATTTAAGCTTTATCTAAATTAATTTATGATTAAATATTTATTTAGAAAAGTAATTAAAAATCATTTTAGTTATGTTATTATTTTCCAAATTTTTTTATATTTATTAAAACATAAATAATAGTTAAATAGATAAATTTAATGCATATCCTTTAGTTTAGTTTTTTGCTTATAGTGTAAATAAATAAATATTAATATTAATTTATCTAATTTAATTTTTTGAGTTAATTGTTTTCGCATTATTTTATTATTATCTAAGTGATTAATTTAAGAAGAAAGTTTAAAAAATTAATACGCTTTTCTATATAATAGGAAAGTATATTAGAGGAAGATACCATTTAGATTTATGATAAGCAAAATTGAGTTTTTTGATTTAAATGACAAAACTATTGAAAAAATAATCAATATAAATATTTTAAAGGAAAAAGTAAGATTTTTATTAATAATTAATTTTTCATAAATAAATAAATAAAAAGTTTATTTAAAAAAGATGAATAAAGGAAAATAATATTTTATTTCACTTGTAGATGTAAAATAAATTATTTTTTTAAAATTAATAATAAAATTAAATTTTATAAATAAAATAGTTTGTAAGCTCTTCATTATAATAGCATGTCGATCTTCATATAAATAATTCGTAGCATCCATCATTGAATTATTTTAATCTAATATTTTTTAGCTTGATTTCTTTTTTTATTAAAAAATTGTTTTAAGAAAAAAGATAAAAATTTTAAATATTAAAATTAAAAATATTTTATTTTTATTGTACTTTTTGAAATATTCAATAATATTTATTTTTGTCTAATTTAAAAGTTGCTATGATATTTGGAATGAAGAAAGTTATAAGTAAAAAAGTTTTTTCGCTTTGTCTAAATAAATTTATTAACTTACTCTAGCTTCAAATAATAAAGAAAAAAGCAAATAAGAAAGATTTTTCATTGATTTTAAGTTTCTTTTTAGTGATTTGTTTGTTTAGTTCTTAATTTTAAAAAATTGTTTTTATTGATTAAAAAATTTTATTTTTATAATCAAATATTAATTTTAAATTACTAGCAATGAAACTTAACTTAAGGATAACAGTTTTTCTTAGTTATATACTGCTTTAGCAAAATGCATAAATCTTTCTTGTTTAAAATTAGATGTGAGGTAAACTAAATTTTATTTGTTTAATTTTACTTAATTAGATTGTTTATTAAATTAAATTGATTAGTAAATTTTAAATTAATTTCCTAGTTTTTAATAATCTATCCTATCTAATCTTAAAAAAGAAACTCATTTGTTGTATTTAAAATAAATTTAAAACAAGTGGCAATCAAATTGATGAGAAGGATGCTTAATTTTTAAGCTCTGCTTTACAAAGCTGTACTAGTCTTTAGATTCTATCTCTTAAACTTGAGTAAACAAATTTCAATTAATTACATTTAAATCAGTTTAAATTTTGGTAAAAATAAATAGTAAAATAAATAATTTTTAAAATAGGTTTTATAATTTAATCAAATTTTTAGTTTATTTATTGTTACAACAAACAAAGCCTAAATTAAAGAAACATTTTATTTTTAACTTTTTCTCTTTTTATTAATTTATTTTTTTAATCTCGAATTATTTTTAATAAAAAAAAGATAGAATACAATTGGATATGCAGGATTATCAAGTATAATTCATGCTTTACAAATTCTCCTTAATCTTAAAGTTTTGAAACTTAAACTAAAGTAAAGATTATATATACAACACTACTTTAAATAATAACTTAACTAATAACAATATCAATTAAGTTAAAAATAATAAGCTGTTTTTATTTTATCTTGTTTTTTTATTTGCTTTAAAATATAACTAACTATTTTTCAATTAAATTAACTAGATTTTTACATTTTTTTTATTCAAAAATTTTTAAATAATTTAACAGCTCTAATAAGATTGTGTTGCAAGGAGATTTAGGTTTAAACTTACCTTTCGAACGCCTTCTTAATCTTTAAATTTTAAAGCTCAACCTTAGGTAAAATAAATTAACTTCTTTTATTTAATTTTATTTTTATTTTTAGTTATTTTCTTTTTTTATAAATAAATTTAAAATTAAAATCTTATTTAAATTATAAAAGTGAAAATAAAATGGATAAAATGGGATTATCAGGTTTAGGAATAGCTTTATCTAAGTGTAATAATCTATAATCTTTAACACTCATACTTGTGTAAATAAAATTTATTTTATTTTGATTTACATTTAAGTTATTTTTTACAATCAAACAATAATTTAAATTTCTTATGTATGTTTTTATAATTAAGCTGCTTGCTTTATTCATAAAATATTATTTTTTAATTAAAATGAAATAAATAATTACTTTTCTACATCCTAAAAATTTAATTAATATTTATGGAAAAGTTATAATTAATAATATTTTTATTTTTTTTACAAAATACCTTTTATTTTTTATAATTTATGATATTAAGACAACTTATTAATAATTCATTTTAAAAATAAAATTAGTTAGAATGAAATTGATTGTGAAGGTGTTTCAGGAATTACAAATGAGTTAACCAATTGCAAAAATCTCTAAATGCTAACTCTTAATCTTTCGTAATTTATTTAATTAATTTAATACTCAATCTTATTATTGCTATTCAACTATCTTAATTTTGTTTTAAAAAATTATAATTTATTTGTTATACTTTTTATTTGAAATTTTGTTATATATTTCTAATAAATTATAATTAAATAATTTCTTTCAAATAATATTAAAGTTAAAATTAAATCGGTAATTTAGGAGCATTCCAGTTAGGAGTCAACTTAGCAAAGCTCCAAAATTTATTATCTCTAACACTGATAATTTTGTAAAATTAAATTATTTTTTTAATTTCATTAATAAAGAAGACTTTAAGAGATACAATAAATAAATAAAATTTTGAATATAAAAATAAAATAAAGTAGTTTTCTTTATTTATTTAATTAATTTATAGAAGTCAATTTTTTTATTTTACTATTTATTTATTAATTAATTAATTTTTGTCTTGATTTCTTCTTATAAAACTATGTAAACATATTTTTAAAAATATTTTAAGGTAGAATAAAATTAGAAATAAGCTTTAATTATGCTCTGCTTTATAGCAATGTAGTAGATTATAATATTTGATGCTTTGTCTAAGTAAAGACTACTATTATTAGAAAAATTAAAATATAAATTTAATAAATCTAATCTGTAAAACAAAAAGATTAGTACAAAAGATCCTTAAAATTTGATTAATTGATTAGATTATTTAAAATAAGAAAATAAAAATTTAATTAAATAAATAAATTATTTTATTTTAAATTTAGTATTTTTATTTTATTTATTTTTGTATAAAATTAATTTCAAACAATAAATTTTATTTTTATAATAAATACTTGGTATTGTTAAATAATTTTAAAACAAAATATTAATTTAAACTTTAAAAACAAATAATTTTTGAGGGAGGATATAAAAATTTTTAAAATAACATAAAAGAAAAAATATTAAATTCAATACAATAAATATTTATTTTTTTTTGAATAAATTATAAAAAATAATTTAATTTAATTTTTTCATTTTTTGCTTGCTATTTTTAGGTCTAATAACATTTTGTTTGGCTTTAGCATTTTTTCTATTGTAGCTTTTTAAAAAAATATTATTAAATACCAAAATTATTATGTTAAATATATTTTACTTGAATCAAATTCTTTAGGAAACTATTCAAAAAAATTATGCTGAATTTTTTCTACTTTTTAAGTGTCTTATTGTGTTTTTGAAATAAATTTTAAAACTAATTCATAATAATAAAGCACACAGTTCAATGATGAAGCTATTTGGATCATAAAAATAGCCACTATTGAAAATATATCTATGATTGAAGGTTATTCATTAATTTGTCCTTCTTATAAATCTTCAATAAAATTGTTATCAGCAAATGCGGTTAAAAAATAAATAAGCACTAGAATAATTTCTGTAAAAAAACAAATGCCTTGCTTTTTTTAATTATCAAAGATTTTAAAAAGTAAGCAGCTTCCAAATAAAATTTATAAAGTTCCAATCACAATAAACGATTTATTTTCTTCAATAGTTTAAATCAAAATAATAACCACTATTTTTCTAAACTCACAAAGGACCCATATAAACATATTATTTCTAAATATATTGTTTATATCATTAATCATTATGCTATTTTTTGTTTGCGAAGCTTTGATTTAAGAATTTGAAAGCATTTATGCTGATTCTAGGGATATATTAAAATTCTAATTCTTATTATGATTTTGCTTATAAATTGTAAGCGAATATTTAATTTAGATTACTATAAATAAAGTAATAAATATTAAATTTATTAAAATTAAAATTATTTCTTAGACTTTTTTCTCAAGGTTATTTAGCTGTAATAAAATAGAAACTATTGAATATATTACTTTCATAGAAATTAATCTTGAAATAATAATAAAGCCTTACTGCTAAATTTAATGGAACCATATTTTTTGCTTAAGAAATGGTATTGTTCTACTTAAAAATTTAAGAAATAGAAGTATTGCAAATAGTATTGTGCTCATAATTAAATAATTGATACACTTTTATGTTTTTAAGTTCTCAGATTCAATAATTTAGATTCCATCAAGAATCTCAAAATTGTAGATATTGTATTCTCTTAAAACTTCTATCCTTATATTCTTTGTTTTAATGGGTAAATTTTCTGCAATAATAGCAAACTGTTACTAAAGCATAAAAGAATATTGGATATGAGGATAAAAGGGCAAAATGATTTAGAATAACTAAAAGTAATAAGAAATACTTGAAATAACATTTTTGAACTTGAAAAACTATTAAGTATAAGCCTATTAAATTTAGATACAATCTGTTTTATTAACTTCTAGATATTCAAATTTACACTTGCAAGAATTATCTAGCTAATCAAATTCTCTTGTTTTTGAGCTACACAAATTACAACTTTAAGCTGAGTTAGGTAGTGAGCACAATTTGCAGCTAAAATGACAAGGAAATAGTTCCTCAAATTAATTGCAAATTTATTAACTTGAGCATAACAAGCAGTAATTTTAACAATCTAGAGAACAAGTTTATGTTTTTTCATCAAAGTATTTTCCTCTTTTTTAAGTTAAGTTAAGTTTTTTTTATCGAAAATGAATTATTTATTTAAATTATTTTTTGTTAAAAAATGCATTCAAAAACAATTATTATTTAAAAAAAATATATTTTACTTTCCACAATATTTGCAGGTCCCATTGAAATTTTAGAAACCTTTTTAGCATTTCAAACAAAGAGGACGAAATTATTCTAAAATTTCACAGTATTTGAAGGAAGGATTAAGTATACATTTATCTAAGTGATTATTGTAATAATAAGACTTATCACTACAAATGCATTATTTTAAACTTTTACTAAAAGTCATTTCATCTAAAATACATTCACATTCTTCTGTTATTTAATTATATTTCATAGTATTTTAATCTACGCATTCACATTTCTATATATCATCATTGAACTTCATTCCTGATTAGCATTCACATTGTTATGTTTCATCTTTATATATACTATTTTAATCTTTGCATTCACACATTTATTTCTTACTATTGAATTACATTCTTTCTTTACATTCGCATTGATCAGTTTTAGTATTATAAGTGCTATTTTAATCTATGCACTCACATATTCTCTTACTAGCATTAAATGCCATATTTTTTTTACATTCGCATTTTTTTGTATCTTTATTAAAAGCCATATTTATCTAATATAAGCATACACAAGTTTTTAAATTTTCGTCAAATTTCATAAAATTTTAATCCAAGCACATGCATTTTTATTCACTATCACTGTATCTCATAAGTGTTTGGTCTATGCAAACACATTTTTTTAAATCAGGATCTTTAATCATTGTTTATTCGTCATTACATTTACATATTTATTTCTCATAATTGAATTTCATCAAATCATTGCAAATACAACTATTATTCTATTTTTTCATGTATATTTAATCAATACAATTACATTAATTTGTTAAATCATCGTATTGCATAGTTTAATTATCTAAGCATTCGCAATTATTTAAAGAGATATTAAAATTTAATTTAGTTGAATCACAACACATTTGCACGCTATTACAATCAGCAGGGCAATTTAGGCATTTAGTGCATTTTTATTAAATTAAACCTTCTTCACAATAGTACTAAGCAGGGTATTTTTCGCTGCATTTATTTTAGTCTAGTAATAAAAAAGGTTTTTAAGAAAAACAACTAGTACAATTTTATGGCTAGAATTAACATGTTTTGCAATTTTCATCACATTTTACACAGGAATTTAAATTTATTTTTGCATTAAAAGCTAAATAAAAACCATCTTTACATACTGAGCAAGAATCTTTGATTTTTACTTCCTCATTTTTCTTTTAATAAAATTATAGCAATTAAATAGAACTCTTTCTTTAAAATTCATTATTTTAGATATTAATTATTTATTTTTGATCAATTATCTATTCTCTGTCTATTAAAATTTGCTAAGTTTATTAACTTTATAAGAAACCAGTCATTCCAATTAAATTAAATGGTTCTTGATACTCTTAGGAGCAATTTAAGTTTTTGTCAAAATACAAATCTGATGCTTTAAATAGTTTTTCTCCATCTTGATTATATTATTTAGAAATCAATTAGTACTCTTCTAAAATTTATTTTTGGATTTTTAAATTTTAATTTTAATCTGGGTCATAGTACAAATAATTAATTCCAATAAACACTACTGTGCTATCTTATTATTTGCTAAAAGTAAAATTAAATCCTTCATTTTAAACTTCAACAGACTCAATAAACAAGCTTTAAGAAATGGATTTTTCATCAAATTAAACACCTGTTATATAGGGATAAGCAACCATATTTCTGTTAAAATTATTTGGTTTTCTTATGAAATGAAATTAGTTTTGTTCATTAAATTTAATATCTTCCTGAGTGATATTTTAAACATCCACAAAAAAACTATCAACACATATTTCAGCTAAAAAAAAATTTAATTTAATGCTGTCTTTATATATGTCAAATTATATTTAGCTCTCATTTTTGTAACTGCTGTTAATAATAAATCCATATTAAATAAAAGGGTAATTTAATTCAAGGATCCCAATCAGAAACTTTCTTTCATTGCATTATAATTGAAACGGTATAGTCTTATTTTAAATAACCTCTCCGTAAACCGATAAAGTAACATTATGAGCATAAAATCTTTCCTTAAGTTCAAGCTTTTATTGACACATTATGAATTGGCAAACAGCAAAAATAAAATAAAAAAGTTTTGCTTAATTTATCATTTTCAACTTCCTTCTCTTTATTAGGTTAAAATTTGTTTTTTGCTATTTTTTCTAATTATTATTTATCTAATTTCAAAGGCAAATAAATAAAGTAATCAAAATAAAAATTAAGTAATTTTATTTTATTTTTGCATATTAAAAATATATTTAGCTGTATTAATTGATTATGTCTAAATTATTTAGCAAAATAATAAATTCAAGACAAAATCGTTCTACAAAATCATCATCAATGCTCTAGTTTTTTAAATATAATTTAATTAAATAATTCTAGCCAATGTACTATTAAAATTTATAAAATATCCACAAAACTGAATGATCTAAATAAATCAAAACTTTTGCTTATTTTAAATAAAGAATGAGCGCTCATTAAATTTTTATTATTTTACTTAAAAAGAGTGCTTTTGTTTATATTTTCAACTAAATTCCCAGGCGAGCATAATAAAGGCACCTTTTTAAATATAAATATAAATTTATAAATTTCTCCTAAAAATTGAAAAATTCAGTCTAATTGCAAGCCTGATTTTCCTTCTAGTTTTTCACTAAATATCAATCAATTAGCGTTAAATTTATACTGTAGATTCTGATTAATTAATACCAAGGAGAAATTAGAAGATCATAAATACTATTAATAATTAAAGCTTATTTCTTAACTTCATTTTTCGGGATTTATTAATGAAAAATAAAAATATTTTAATTGTTAAGTTTTTTTTACTTTTAAAACAACAATTATTTTATTTATCAGATATTTCTTTCAGAAATATTTTTACTAAATTTAAATTAATGCCTAAAAAAACTAGTTATTAGAAATTACTATTTTCTTAAATACATTAAATTTATCTACAGTCTAAAATCTCTCATCGCTTGTGAATATTGTAAAATGCCAGATAACATCAAAATAAAAACTTAAAATTAAACTATTCTTTCTGAAGTAAATGTTTCTTCTTATTATCTTTTTTAATTTCTAACTAAAAATATATATAGCAATTTAATATTTCTCTATGATAAATCAATTAAAAATTAATGTTTTACAAATTAATAATCTGAATATTTTAAGGGCTGGAGGGATAAATAAGACTTTTACTTGATTTTTATCTCAAAACCAATCATTATCAAGTAAATACCATAAGTTAAGCATTTTACTGAAATTTATATCTATAAAAGCAAAGGGTAAAAACTAGAGTTAACTTTTTATCTATAATACCTCATATTTACATTTAAAAACTTAAAAAAACTAAATTTAAAGTATACAAACGAATATTTAACAAGAAATAATTTTTTTTTAGTTTGTAAAATTTAATATTAATATAATAAAATTATATCTTAAAAATATAATAAAAATGATAAAATAAAAATATTAATTCATAAAAAAATAGTTTTCAATTGATACTTTTTTTCTAATAATAAAGTAAATTAATTTGAAAAAATCAATATTTGCAAATATGAAAATTTAGTTTTTCGTATTGAACGTATTCAAGAGAAATAATTAATAGGCTTAAAAATTGTTAACCAGAGCTATGTTTCAAATATTTGAAATTTGTTTTTCATAGGACTATAGTATAGAATAATTAACTAATTAATATATTTATTTTTAAATGATAATCATAGTTTTTCTATCTATTTGAAATGGTAAGAATTTTTAAAAAATACATTAGCTTTTAAAATTTTAATTTTTGAGTTAATTTTTATTAAATATATAAAAAAGAAATCTAATTTAAACTTAACTTATTTTTTAAAAAGGAGATCATAATAAATATGGATCATGTTAAAAGCTAATTGTTACAAGGTATTTATTTTAGGGAAACTTAAGATATTTTTGCTACATAATTTAAGAAATCAAATAGATTATCATCTATTAAATAGTCAATAGTAAAATAAATTGATATTGATAATATATTCTAGATGAATAAAGAGATCAGATGATTGATTAACATTCTATTTAAAAATCAATCTTTGGTAAATAAAGCAAAAATCAAAGATATACTTCCTTTTTAATAAAAAGGAGAACAAATAAACAATCCTATTATTAAAGTTAGATTTGTAGACGCAGTTTAAAATAGAAATATAATAATATTGCGCATATAAAAACAACTCTTTTAAATTTTATTTAGATTAAATTACCTATTATATTTTAATTTTTACTAAATTTTAATGGTTAAAAAGCTATTCTATTAGTCAACAATTAGAATTATTTTTATTAGATAAAGAATTGGTATCAATTAATAATTATGATTAATGAGCTAAAAAGCATATTTATTGATTCTATTTTTCGAATTACTTCAGTTTAATCAACATCATTTCATTAGTAAAATAATTTTTTATCAAATAAAAGGATTTAGGGAAAGTAATTTGATTGAAGATTAAAAAAAATAAATTTATATTTGGATTATTTGATCATTTTATCATCATTTTTAGTAGACGATTTAGTAAATATTTGATATAATGTATGTGATATAAATGATAATTTTTAATTATCAAATTGATTTGTTTTTTCTGATTAAATATAAGCACCAATTATTTTATGATTGAAAAAAGCCCTTTTTGATTAAGAAAATTATAATTAATTAATAAAGTAAAAAATAGATAAGAAAAAGTAAATTAAAATCGAGCTATGAACATTTTAGAGCCTTAAAATAATTACTACTATCGCGATATTAGTTCTAGTGAAATTGAAAGCTAAAGCTATGAACTTCTTTTAAGATAGTTAGAAGTTTGTTTAAATATGTACAAACCTCACTTTGAGCTTTAGTATAAGTATATAGGAGTTAATAGTGGTAATTAAGAATTTGAATACGAAGAAAAAAGATACTGCCTTAACTTAATTGTTTTTGACAAACTACAAAATGTTAAAAAGAAACTTGTTGTTTTTGATAACAACTATCGAAACGAAAAATTAATAAAATATTACATAGATTTGCTAAAATATTTCCCAAGAAAGGATTTGATTTACCTCCTCTACGACTCTTACTATTTAGATAGCAAAAAAACCTTTTACATTTTTGAGTTAGAATGTCCTAAAACCATAAATTTCTCAAATTTCATGGATTATTTTGATATTGTCGAGAATACAGTTGAGAAGATTAAAACTGCGTTTTGTGATCAATTGATTGAGTTCGACAAAACCTAACTAGTTAAACAATTCAGGTCAAAAGATAAAAATAAATTTTGTTTACTTGATTAAGATTATTTACTCAAAATATTTTAAAACAAAAAAATTGTTTACTATAAACACCAAAATGTAAAAGAATAGTTGTATTTTAAAAAATTAATTTAAATACCCCTCGGTTTTTGTTTTGCTTAGTTTGAAGATTTTGAGTAACATTAGCAGTAGAAATAACCTAATTAAGATGAGAGCTAAAGCAATATTGATATAGAAGATAATGAAGATTCACAATCAGAGAATAGCTTAGAATAATAAGAAGAATTCGATAAAGATTCTATTTATTCATCTCTATTTGATGAAGATTCTTTGTTTAATTAGAACTGCAAAATTAATAACCTAATCAAAAACAACGAAGAAGATAAAGATTAGAGTGGAGATATTTTGTGTGATTCTAATACTAATTAAAATATTAAGCAAATTGATGATCACAGTTTAAGCCAAGAATCTCTTCAATAATCTTAAGAATAAACAATGAAAATTGACTAAGAAGAATTAGAAATAAGCCAATAGGATAAGTTAGTAGAATCCTAATAAAATTAGATTTAGAAAACTGATTTTAATACTTAAGAAGCCAATTTGTATAAAGATAGAATTTAAGATAATCAAAACAATTCTAGATAAGAAATAAATATAGATGAATAGAATCCTAAAATAGAAACTGAAGAATTCAATGAAAAAAAATCTTAAAGTATCTAAGAGGATCAAGATTCTAACTAAGACGAAATTTAGTAAGAATAACAAGAAGAAGTAAAAAATGAAATAGAATCTGTTAATGAAGATTAAAATTCAGATGCTTCTTCATATTGGAACACAGATTAAGATTTAGTTAATCAATTACTTGATTTCAATGAGAGAATTTTGATTACAATTAAAAAAGAAAATCTTATTGATAAGATTAAAGAATTTTATTCAGATATCTTAAATTATCATAATGAAGATATTTTTTCTTTAATTTAACAGCACCCGAAATATGATGATTTTGAAGTACTTTCATATAATTCAGAGTAATTTAAGCTAAAATGCAAGAAAGATAATGATATGAGAATTTTATTAGTTAAGAAATTTAGCTGCTTTTAAAAGATCTAAGAAGAAGAGAAACTAATTAATTAACAATCAAGCATTATAAACAATTTAATTGTGACGGAAATTATTTTACAAGAAAAGTATTCATATCTTTTAGTAGAATAAAAGTATTTTTAACCTAGTAAACGAATTTATTTTTACCCAACAATACAAGATTTGCTTAAAAGTTTTTCTACAGACAGAAATTTTAAATTGTATATAATTGAATTGCTAATGCAACTGAGCTATGAATTATTTTGCAAATTCAATATTAAAGTTACAAACATTTGTCCCTCAAAAATTTTTATTTAGGGTAACATTGATACAATTTAGTAAAAGAAAAAATTTAACATAATTATTTAAGAATTAAGCACAGAAAATTTTGAAAAGTAATATTTGGATTTGATAAAATCTCCTAAAGATTATTATGGGTATTAAAAATTTTATCAAAAAAATTGCACTGTTAACTTAGAAACTTTGCTAAATTAATTTTTTAACGATTTGAATGTAAAATCAAAATAAGAAATTTCAAATCTATATTCAGAAATAACTCAGCATATTTATCTACTGATGTATATCCATCATAATCGTGAAATTTCCATTACTAAAAATAATAAATTCCATAAATATTTTAGAAGTTATCGCAGTATAGAATTAACAAAAGATTAATAACTAGTAGTTTCTTTAGAGATAAAGTTTGAAGATTACATAAACTGGTCAGTTGATGTTTAATAAGAAAATCTAGATTTATACAATTCACTATTTAAATAGTAGCAATAATAAAAATAATAATGGAGTTTACCATTTGAATAGCAAGAGTAGTTTGAAAAACATTTTGTGAAATTCTAAAGTTACTTCAAGCTTGAAAAAAATTAAAAAATAGAAGATAATAAAAATGAAGAAGAAAATGAAATGGAATTAGAAATTCCAAGTTAAAATTAACTGCAAGAAAACAATGTAGATAACAATTAAGAATATGAAGCTGAACTTTCTTTGCTTACTGAATTAAAAAATATGTTAACTATTTGTTTTGAGCATAATCTAAAAAAGAAAACTAATTTTAAATTAGAAATTGTTAACAGTAATACAATCGATTTTAAAAGTTATTATACTTATTATGATTATGATTATTACAATATTTCTTCAGAGTTTATAAAAGAAAGCTCTAAAATCCTTTAATTAGATATTAAAAAATACAACTCTTAAGCAAGCTTCAATTTTGCTTATGTATAAGAGAAAATTTTGATTCTCGAA